TATATATATATTAGTATATATATATTATATATATATAGTATATATATATATATATATTATATATATATATATATATATNTATATATATATATATATATATATGTATATATATATATATCATATGATTAGTGCTTAATTAAATGTCGACGGGTGAAGATATTAACACATAATAATATATATGTATGTCAATATATGGTCGATGATGTTGAAATCTGTGCGTGTGGTGATAGCATCTGGTGCATTGTAGTTAAATCTGAAACTTTGCGATAGTGAAGAACGGGGAGTTTCGCCTGGACAAGCAAAACTATATATGTTTCGCCGCTTTCTTTTCCAAGCTCGCTGCGCTCATGCTGTTTCTCTCTTCCCATCGTGAATGCTAATTGTGTATAGCAACACAATAGTACATTTCCCATAGCAAAAGTGAGACGCATGATGAAGGAACAATTAGATTCGAAAACTAATGTGACCCCGGAGGCCGTTCTCGCCATTGCCAAATCAACGGTATGTGCTTCGCTGTTGCTGTACTATGGTTCTGTTTCTAGTGCTGTGGATGTCGGTCTGTTCAGCTTGTATGCACAAGCATGAGCACTTAAGCTTGCGCTAGTGGTTATGGCGCATTTATGATTCTGCTGCCTAAGGCAAAGGCATGTTGCAGTGATTCACATGTTGCCGTGAACGTTCAAGTGAACAATACGCGAAACACGAGCAGGCCTTGGGTTGTCTGCTATGTTTCGGTATAAGATAGGTTCATACCGCGTTTTCCATCCGGTTTCATGATATGCTATATTCAGCATTTGTTTTCCCTTTTCAACGGCAGTATCTTAGCTAGTCTTGCACACAATACCTCTGTGTGCGAGTTGTGTGTGGACTACTGCTATGACTAATTCTAAGTTCTGGCCTCTCAACAGGAACTATTTATAGCTTACCTTACAAAGAGTGCTCTGGAATTAAGCGAAAAAGAGAAGAGGAAAACAGTCGCGTACAAGGATATCGGTAATTTAATTGTCGCACTAGCACATGGTTTTACGGCGGCTGTCAATGCAAAGATCGTTATTCAGCGCAGTATTTTCTCGGACTAAGCATCATATAGTTAGCCTGCAGTATCCCTCCCCTCCTTACGCATACCCATAAATTTCGGCTGTTTTAACCTGTTGCTTGCAATTGCATTTTCCTTGCCTTCGTGATCCGAATTTGGAACCACATTTTCGACTCGAAGTTTCCAAATAGTTGAGATACTCATGCGCAGCGGTATCGGCCAATTATTTCTCTGCTAATAACAACCTCACGATTCTCTCTTTTTTTGGGTGCTGCTTCAGCCGCTGTGGTATCAAGTCGTGATAGTTTGGTGTTCCTCGAAGGTATGCGATTCGCAAACGTGTTCAGCAAAATATTCCCACTACAGTCCACATCGAAATACGTGCGTGTAGAGCAATCATACGCACTCCATACGTCTGATTTGGCATCAGCCGAACGTGTTTGTCGTTACATTTGCGCTGGTTTGTCATTGAACAATGGAAAGCGTGTGTATTTCTCGCTGATTCTGTGATACATTGGTTGAGCAAGCATGCGTCTCCATAGGGCACGTTGTGATTGCCTTCCCCTTTGTAGTTGCGAATTCCTATCGCAATGGCCTGCCTTATAGTTTGCCTTGGCTCGTAACTCTCCTGAACCTGCCTCCATCGTATATTCTTTTTGCAGATCTGATACCGTCCAAAATGGCGTTCATACAAGCAAAGAAACTGTATGTCGATTGTGAGTGTTAAACGTGTGGATTTGATTTCTTAGGATAACAACACGGCCAGAGAGTTCATTGATAACTCTTCATTTTAAGTGTTCCACGTGACAAGGGAAAATCTATGAGTAGAATACCATGATTTGGATTCGTGTGTACCCGGCGTCCGGTGCGATCGAACGACAATCACATTAGAATATCATAGGAGAGTGCATTTGTCCCTCACACGTATGGGGATCACGTCAAAAGACTGACCAACGCTATTGTTCTTATATCAACATCTGCTGCCTTCGTTATGTTCTACTCACAGAGCCGAAGATGTATCAGCACAGAGGTTGGCATATGGGGACGACCCTGACGCGTAGGCTCCAGGTGTCGTCTTAAATTTCATTCGATTGACAGAATAATGAATAAACTAGCTTATAAACAGTTAGTATTAATCGTTTGATTGCCTTTAGGTTCTGTGATGATTGACAAGGCTAGTATATATACGCACCACGTGTATTCCACACACACTGAACGTTGCGAATACGTGCAAGACCAGGAAACAAATATCATTTTAGCATTGGTCTGGAATGATACTGGATCTCGCATTCTGCCCGATTTGGTACATATATATGAGTAAAGTGAGGATATTGTAGATAAAGATTGCTCCCAAAGTAGCTTTTAATCCGAAATGCTGATCAGTAATAACGTAAACAGGGCAATTTCAATGTACATTTAATCGTATCAAAATATTGTACTTTGCATTAGTTGGGTCAAATACAGCCTGACTGGGGTGTATGTACGGTAGCAAGATCTTTGCTAAGGGCACTAAACGTGTCGAGCCATCGTGAGCATCAGACACTTCAATCATCGCGTATTTTGTAAACTTCCGGGATAACAGTAGTGAGGGTTGTTGTACCAGCTTCTGCAGTTACTCTGCGTCTATCCCAGAAAGTTTTAATGGATGTGCGAGTCCTTCCTGTGAGCTTTCGTATTGTGCACCCAGATCAAACGGTGAATTGTCAAAGCACTTGGCCCAGTATACAAACGTTGTGCAACGCTGCTCAACACCTAGTTTCTCAAGGCCTGCAAAGACATCCTCAGACCGAGAGTCGTCATTGATTGTGCCGTAAGAATCTTTTGCTTTCTGAATAAGTGCGAGCGAAGGCACAGTCTCCTCACTGCACATTTTAGGGTCGTCGAATTTTCTGGCCACATCGTTTCGCACGCCTGAATAGTAATCGAGGGAGGATTGGCCTTTCTCATATAGAACTACTTTCGCGTGGTCACGTCTTAGCACGATCCACTGGTGGTGCTTGAGCGTGTCGGAGCTTTCGAAGTGGCGTGCGTTACCTTTGAAACGACAGTCAGAATCGACTTCACCCAGGGTTGACGTAAAACACATCTTTGAAGCTGTGGGCGAGTGGCCTATGAGATCGGCATACATGTAGCTAAAACTCTTCAGTGGAATCGAATTGTGCGACACGAACACAAATTGTTCGTTTGTTGGGTCTCGTAACGCCGCTTGAAGCATGGCGAACTGCACACCACTCATCAGACGACGTCGTGGGTACGTCGTGATAACTAGGCAAGTGTTGTAAGAAATACCCACTGGTGATGGGATGCGTTCTGTGCACGTACACATTGTACCATTCCTCGTCCGCTTCGTGAAAGAAGGAATTCCAAATGTCGGCCTGAGAATGCCCATCGGATACGAGAAACAAAAAGGCAACTTTAGACTGGTTACCATGGCTCTTTACCGATGAAGACGCCCGATTGAGAGACTGCGAGAGGCTATGGTTGTCAGTCTTATAATAGCCTTTGAATAGTTCTAGGTGATGTCGATTGGTCATGAGCGTTAACCGGTAGTGAATCCGCCTTGGATATACCCACTCAAGGCATGTTTCCTTGGGTTAAAATGATGACACCTAAACTAAGAGAAACATGAAATGCAAGTATCAGGCCCCTGGAAATTGGGAAGCGTACTGAAATTGGTGTTGTCTGTGGTACGCCCGATTTAGGCACACTGGCTTCGATTGAACTCGTGATGTCGGGTATGTTTCGTGTTTTTGCCATGATCGCTGATGTTTCGATTGTGAACAAACTCTCTGCGTGTTTGTCTCTCAAAAGATTGATTGAATGTAAATGTGCATTCGTATATTCTTGTTGGTCCCCTTTATATTGCAAGAGTATTCAGTGTGTGCAACAACCCACGTAAATATAAGTGCATATCCGTGTTTAGGAGTTGCTATGTATCATCTTTGAATTGCAGGGCATTTTAAGCATTTATAATTTTAAGCACCCCTAAAAACTAAATGAGTACTCGAGGCACTGGGAGTAGGAATGTGGGAACAAAAGTGAAACATCGCCTTTTTGTTTTTACACAACAAACCAAACATCAGAACTTACTTTGAAAAAAAACTATTTATAAAAAACAAAATATATTTTATCGTATAAATATTTAGTATTTATGTACAAAAAATACATCTGTAAATATAAAAACCCTACATACAGGCCTACACCTTCAATTTATTTCTATTGTTATTGTTTTACAAAAAAAAACAGTCGTCAGTCATATGTACATTGTACTGCATACATAATCAATTGTGAATACACCATTGATCATCTAGTTAAATAGTAAATATTTTAGATCATTGATCACTGAAGATAAGTGAGAATTCAAAGTCCTCATTATAATCACTGTTCGAAATGAGTAAATCACCCTTTTTTTTTTTAAAAACAAACCAAATTATTGTATAAATAAATGGACTCTTCACTCAAGACGGCCCTCTAAATTATACAAACGCTATGCTCAAGAACTTGGTATTGTAATACATCAACAAAATACTTGAAGGAACTTTTTGCCTGTCCTATTGCTACAAGACCTCTCCAATTCAATCTACACTAAAACTCTAGTCTAGAGTGTCTAGTAGAAAAAAGTACATAAAAGTCCCGACGACGCCACAAACTGAACAATTTGACGTCGACTATGGGGTACACAATCGCAGTTGTACTTTTTTTTATGTACTTTGACAGCATGCACTTTCTGTTTATACTGGGATGATCAACACGGTAATTTAGAACTAAGTGCAATTGGAAATGGTGACGTACTTGAGAACAAATCCGTCGACAAAGAGCACAATGCCCTTTTAGACACTAGTAAAAAGTCTCTTCACGGGACCGTCGCTCAAATAGATCAGCTGAAGGATCGGATTAAGGGCAACGTATACTTTCCTACAGATAGTGGCTACGAGTGTTTGCACGTGACGTTCTTCAACATGGGAGCGGAGCTGCCACTAGCCTTTGATTTGCCTTTAAATAACGAAGACGCGCAAGATGTCGTTCGTACGTTGGCGCGGAATAATATTAGTACGCGCATACAATCCGGTACACATACGTATTCAAATGAATCGGTACAAGGAGAGTTGGGCGTAACCATTTCGACAGCGCTGATGAAGACACTTCACATCGACAGCGATCAGAAACTTGTACATGTGGGTGTTGGGTGCACTCTGGGCGAAATGTATGACTTGGCTCATGCGAATGGATACATATTCATTGGAGGCACACATGCTAGTACGGGCGTGGCTGGTTATACATTGGGCGGGGGACAATCTACGCAGTCCCGTTTTTACGGCCTGGCCGTTGATCATGTGATCGAATTTCAATTTGTTGCACCTGATGGTCAAATTTTGGTTGTTCGAGAAGATGGACCGTATAATGTTCTGTTTTGGGCTCTGAGAGGCGGGGGCAACAGTAATTTCGGACTCATCACGACGTTTCTATTCAGGCTGCATCATCGAAGTGTGTTTCCAGATGTGACGGAGGGTACCTTCTACTTTAATATCGCTAATGATAAGAATTTGACGGCGGATATGCTAAATAGCTAGGTTAATCGCCACCATTCTGTATCCAACAAACTATCGATGAGGCTTGCATGGGGTCAGGAGCAACTCGCAATGCCGGGTGGACCAGATACTCTCACGAATATTTCTATTGATAACTACCAAGATGTAAATGCTCCTAATTCATATCTAGTGTATTGGTGGTACTATCAGGGTGCGGCGGAGGCGCGTGTTGTGATGGAAGAGTATCTTAGCAGTTATCCGGACGGAACAGTTGGAATCGGGAACATACAGTACGATTCCATCAAGCACGCAACCTTCAATCCCGATCACAAGGTCGAGTGCGATCAGAGTGCAAAAGTCACAACATTCCATCATGGCAAGGACACAAAATCGAAGGGCTGGATTGCTGGAAGTATATACATGAATCAGAGCACGCCGCAAGTGGCCGATTACATCATCAACTTCTTCGCCTCGGATAAATACAAGAATACTGGGTATCAAACGTACAAAGGTGGGTGGGGCTTTACGCCTTTAGGCGGGCAAGTCAAAAACATCTCCAAAATAGACACAGCGTTCTGGGCCCGGGAAGCTCAAGTTGAACTCGAAGTATATATGAACAGGGGAAGAACAGGATGAGTCATGTCGACGAGCCATGAACATATTCCTTGATCAAGTGGGGGCGTGGAGCAAGCAGCTCAAGGGTTGTGAGGGTCTGTTTTTAGGCTCGCACATTAAACATTCGGGTGATAGTTTGATCCGATGGCGACAAAGATTTTACAGTGGTAATCAGCAACGACTAGAACAAATAGCAAAAAGATTACAATCCAGGAGAGTTTGGAAAATTTAGATGTAGGAAGTTCTTTCTGCATACAATATGAATAAGCCTTTCATACCTCATCCATGGTACGAACGCAAATGAGTCAACTTCGAGCCGTGTATCGTTTCATGTTTGTTGCTGAAGGCTGTGCACATTCAAAAATTTCGATTCTGCCATCGTTGGACTTTCTTCAATATTTATGCCAAACTACAAATCAAGCATAAATGTGATATACGAGTAGGTGTATTATCGCAAGCAACCATCTGTAACTATTAACGGATACATATGTAGGACAATAAAGCTGTTGTACTTTGCCGACGATAAAAGGCCTTATTCTTTCATTTTCCTTCGCAGCTATTGAAGTCGATTTATACTCTGGTGCTGGAATGTCAGGCTGTTTACCACAAATGTTTCAATTCTTAATCACGCGCGAACACGGCTCTAATTTTGAATATATATATCTAGTGGCCGATATCAGCCAGCGCATTTATTGCTGCTTTATCTGTAGTGTGGATATAGCAACCGGTATATCTTCTGATACAACCCCTGGAATAGGTCTTTGTGTGCACAATGCTTGCATTAATGAGTCAAAAGGGATAGTAATATGGCAATAATAAGACCGGGGGTTGTCTTTCTTAGGAAGAAAACTAAGACCTAGAGTATCCTGCTACTGGATTGATCGGGAGCACAACAAAACAATCACTGGAGTCTATACTGTGCACATGGACACTGCTCACCAAATATTGTCGAAAACATGCCGGTACCAACTATAGTTGAGTTGCCAAGAAGAAAAGTTCAGAGATCGGGGCTCTGGCCGCCACTATCTATTTGGCGTTTACAGCTACTGATTTTCCAACACACAGGTGGGTGGGCTGAGACACCCACCTGTGCGAAGGCGTTTCTTGCTGTTTTGTATTGTATAAATTGACTGAAGAAAGGCAATGGGAATTCCAATCAAATCTGCCGGATATAGAGAATAATATTACCCTTCTTAGGGTCTATGGTTTGCTCAAGACTGATTTTATCCATGCTCTGCACCTGTCAGTACGCGCAGGCGTTCGATTTTGAATATAACCAAGCACACTATCAATATCTTTGCAGGATTGATAATCTTGATGTTTCCTTTTTTTTTTGTTAAATTTTTATCTGAAAAAATACTCGAGAGTCGGGAAATAGAGAGATTTGGGTCGGGAGCTTCTTTTTTTTTTTTGCGGTAGAGTTTCCACTTTGGGTTCGAGATTTCAGATTCGGGGGGGGGGTTTTTTGTCAACATTTAAATATTGCAATCAGTTTATCACCCTGCTGTTATTTATACGTCTATGTAAATATGATCATTAAAGTAACGAGATAATTGATAACATTGATACGAAACACACCTTTCTATCAGTAATTGTGAATACAACTAGCTTTTAATCTGACATACATACTTGCCAGTGCACTGTAGTGCACTATGCACAGATGTAAGCCTTCTGATATTATCTTATTCATGTCACTGTAAAATTGGCCGGATTCAGAGAACCAATATTATTTTAACAAAGACATCTTTTAATCCAGCTGAATCCGGAGGGCTATGGGTTTTCAATACTTTTCCTTTCTTCCAAATTTGCTGGTCAAGAGAGAAAATAACTATAAAAGCACAAAATGTCTTGGGCAATACTGCATGTTCATTCATACAAACTTTAGTAACCAACGCGATCGTGCTCAGACTAATAACATCTTTTTGTAAGTCTAACAATACTACTCAAAAACTAAATGGTGAGATCAATCAAAATCGTTACTATTTTATCCTTTGTCTTCGGACAATTGACCCAGACTCTCGTCGCTTCAGCGGCTGTTATGGCCCCAACAAGATCAAGACGTGCCAGCAACGCCAACTTTTGCGTCGATCTCACAAACTCCAAGCAAGATTCAACAACTGCAGGAATTAAAACGTACATGCTCGACACCACACATTCCTATTGCAACTCGGATTGCTGCGACTACCTGGCATGTACTGGCAGTAAATGTTGGTGCCACAACGACGATGGTGATTACGATGGTTGTACAAGCTGTGTTGCAAGCGGCGATGAATGGGGTACCGGTAATATTTGCTGCTCTGATGATGACCCTGATTATGTCAATGGTGGCGTTTTTGGTTCTACTTATTACAAATACTGAAAAGTATATTCTGGAAGGAGGGTGTCGGTCTTAACACATTAATCGATTTCGAAACTGGCGAACTGAGAGCACTGAGGTCATCTAGTTTGGAGATAGTTATCGTCAGGAATATTCTGCTATAGCCTTCTTAGTAGGCAACTCGGTCAATAAAAGAGATAGTGATATGCTGACAAGTTTGTCGACATGAGAGTTCGTGAAATACTCCGCTATAGTTTTTAATAGGAAGCTGTGGATTCAAAATAACAGTGTAATACTTAGTCGATATTAAACAAATTGAACTACCCCGCCTATTAACAGACACCCCTTTGAGCATCATCTCAAGACGCGATTTTGTCACATTTCTACCATCGTTGGTGTTACATTTGGGGACGCAACGTGTACAGGCTCTGCATCTAAGCACGGATTAATATATTGGCAGGTCAAGGACGCCAGGCAGGGTTGAGCGGACTAATCCTTTTCGTAGAAGACTAAAACTTTCAAGAAATATATTTCCAACAGCTTCGATGCAATTTTATTTATATTAAGTTATGGATCCCATATTGTACACAGTTCAATGGGATAGATACGGAACTTGTGAAAGCCCATTTACTTTTTGATAGCTCATAGCCAATACCGCCGAACAATTAGTACACACATCAAATAATCAGGCGAGCATCATGAGATGAACGCAGCCATGCATTATGTTGCATATCGCCGCAATACTGTTACGAATATTACCAAAACCTCTTTTATTTTCCGAAATTTTCTTTCTAAAATAGTGTAGAGAATAAATAGCAGTCATTTGTAGGTTGCCACGAGAATTTAGTCCGCTCTTGGGAATCCAAATTCGTTAATCGAGCGTCAACATGGCTCCGGGGGTAGAATAAAATCAGACCAATCAGCAACTCTACTCAATGTATCATCCCAGCAAGGTAATTGGTGTACGAGAAGGGGACGAATGTGTAGCCTTCCCCGCCGTAGAATTTCTGTTTTGTTTGTGGTTGAGCATGCAATTGAGGATTTGCTTTGGTTTCGAGAATTTTCCAAACTTGTTAGATTTTAGGGTTTCGGGCTATAGGGTTAGGGTTTAGGGTTAGCTAGCCTTAACCTTCGCTGGATTTGCTATATAGGACACGGCAGTTGCGAACGCGGAGTGGCGATTGAATAAAACAAAAACCTTGTATTTAACAGTTCTATGGAATACACGATTGTCCTTTTGTAACACACCCACAAATGTATGTAAAGATTTTTGCACACCCAACTGCAGTGTAATTATTTCCCACTCAATGTCACACTATCCATAACTACACGAGCATATTCCTCTCTGTCCAACCTTGGGCTGTCGTCCCCGATCTATCCACGGTATGATCATAACGGACGAGAACACGCTCACATTGAACCACACAATGAACTAGACACACCTGTTGGAACTCCACACAATGAACTAGACACACCTGTTGGAACTCCACCCAATGCAAACGTAACGCGTGCAGGAAGGCGCTCATTCCTTCCATCATCAGCAGCACCGTTACGGACAGACCTGCCCAAGCACCGAACCCCAGATACAACATGATCGGATTGGTAGCAAAGGTGCCTCTCAACACCATATCCCATAGAACTTCGGACAACTGTGCGTGTGCAAGGGACAACGCCCACAGACGAAGGTACGAAGCGGTGTTGGAGACCGCACCCAAACAGAACTCAATGCTGTGGATGCTGTTGTGAATCATGGCGTCCGCGAAGTCGAACTGTCGGGGACCGGCGAGTAAATTCAGGACAAATCAGTATACATAGAGGCCGGAAAAATACAATGTACTTGGTGCCGACTAAGCTTGGCCTATAATTCGCTTTGAAATACACATCCTAAAGGCACTGACCGATTCGTGATAGGAAAACAGATTGCGAGAGGATTTGCTGTACTAAAGACGTGCATTCGACCACGTGTTACAACGAGTCGATTGTTGTGTATCCTGAGGTCCTTGTAGGCCGCTACAGAATACGTAGTGTAATCTGAGATACCTTCGGTCAAGAACGAACTACATATGACAGAGTACATCGCTAACAGAACAAATTGTTAGTGACTGGCGCCGACTCGCTCAATAAAATGACATTAAATTTCAAATAACCGTAGCCGCGTTCTCTTCTCAGCAGAACATGTAACACCACCGACTAATCTACCATAACTTAAAAATTTGGAACAGAAAAAGCATTCTTTTCTAACACTAAAGGTGATGGCATACGCATTGATTTCCAAAACTTGAAATGACAGAATAAGCATCAATTTACAGCACTCAAAGTGACAGAATAGGCATTAATTTATGACACTCACAGTGACAGAATAAGCACATAAAGTGACAGAATACGCATTTATTTCCAACACTAAATGGCATACCTCGCCATGACCGCCAGACGTATGCACGATGTGGCCGTCGTCCTCTTCATCGTCGTCGTCTTTTCGATAGGTGTGATCCGAGTCGTCTTGACCCAGTTGTTGATACCCCGACTCTTTCTGTGCGGTTGATTTGAAACACGTATGCAATATGGGATCAGTAATAATCAATCACAAACAAGTGTGTAATATGAGGTAAACAATAGTAATACACAAACACGTAACATGAGGTATGTAATAGGACAGGTGATGTGGATGCTTGCACTTCGTTTCCCTCCATTCAAATATCCTGATCAAATTGGGTACTCGCCATTGCTGAGCTCTAGCTTTACAACCCGGCCCATTGATTCATGTGTGTCGAGCGTATGCGCAGCGTCTAGCTTATGGCTACCGCGAATGGGTTTCTCGAGTTGTGCTCTGGCGATATAACACGAAGTACGATACAGAGAGGTATGTCACCACAGCATAACGAATACGATTCGTAGTTAAAGGACTTGCAACCCATCTGATTGGCTGTTTGATTGGTAGAATCACACACAGCTGCCAATGGATCGGCGGCTACACGGGCAAAGAAACCCCTCAGTCCAGGAGGGATACAATTGGCTCCTCGATAAATAGTCGTGAAAACCTTGGTGAACCCCTAGGAATCCTCGGGTGCGAATACCCTTATCCGCAATGGCACGATGAGTGTAGTGTAGAGGCTGATGACTACAAGTCAGTTCCAAAAAATACTTTGGGTCGTCCGAAAATCGATCAAGATATGAATGTGACATGTTGGCCGATAAAATTTTACATCCCGAGACACATGGCAAACACAACACGCAGTAACATTAACAATCATTATCCAGTACAGAAGCAGCCCGGCGGCGGAGAGGGCATTCTCATGGAGTTGCGATATACCATGAGCCCAGCAACTCGTCCCCAGCAACTAGAAAAGGACCGGTATTTCTAATATTGGGACAAGAAAGCACGCGTGCGTACGCATACCCAAGTACAAAATACATTGAATCTGCTGCGGATATATCGTGAAACCCCACCCACCTGTTTCTTGTGCATATAATTCTGGTAGATGGGCGACACCAGGAACATCCAGGGAACACAAATCAGCGCAAATCCGACAATCATCAGCTGCACGTACGACTGCCCTGGGTACAGCAGCGTCTTGGCCTCGTATGTGTTCTCTCCGGGTTTCAAAAACATGTTCACCAGAGTGATCAGAAGCGATGGGTCTGAGGGGATGGGTGTGCCGCCGCCTTCAGGCACTACGGACTCGAATACCATGCACCACTTGGCCATGATCATGGCGCTGGGATGGTGGGTTGTGTGCAGTTGTGGTAGAAATGGTTTGAACAGAGGCCAGGAACCGAATGAAATGATTCAACACCTTGGACATATCGCAGACAGTTGGCTCTAACATTGCAAACACACCCAATATGCGTCATGTGAAACATGGAGGTAACGAGTTACAGGATTGTGTCAGGGATACTCAGTACGATTGCGCCTAAGCCCAAACTAGAAAGTGCACCAATCTGGTAGGCAAGTTCACTCCTAAATAAATACATACATCCAGGAATATTGAACGCAATTCCTGGAGATAAATTGTTTCCATATACTGATAAAACTGTGTAATTCGGTCTTCAAAATCACAGATGCTTCTTACGCAGGTGATACTGACAGACACTTACCACAGGTAGCCAAAGACACCAAACAGGAAGAACATCTGCGGGATAAACTCGGCCCATACGGCGTAGTCGCGCTTGAAATACTTCGCATTGAAGACGGTCAGCACCACACCGAACGACATATGATTGACCCCAATAAGCACAGATATCTTCATCTTCAGAGAGTTCAGATAAGCCAGCTTGTTAGTTGCAAGCGACCACACCGGATCCACACCGATGGGGTAGGGGTAACCACGGTACCTGTATGCCGAATAGATCAAGTTGGAGACGACGCCAGTTGTGCGGGCGAGTATAGTGGGAATGGATTGGTTACCTATGACGCACTTCGTAGCTCATCGGCAGTTTGTCAGTACATAGGAATTCAATGCAGGGACTTGAACTGATACATATGTGCCGGATTTAGGAGATATAGATCGAGCTATATGTTAGGGATATAAATTCTAGCGGGTGTATGCAGTCGCCCAGCGGATATCACATTCCAGCTCGTATTGGCGCGACTAAACAGGAATATCTAGATACAGATCATGTTACAAGACTTCGATATCTCGACACCAGATGCAGAGGAAAGAGCTCAACACACAACACCACCACCAGCCCATCACACACGGCTGACAATTCTGGTCCCTATGAACGCCTATGACCAAACGCTCTGACTTCGTTTGATATTGAACGAATATATCAAAACCCCCATCCTCATCCGAGTGTGTACTGTAGACTGAACCCCAACCGTTGGTGATGACCGGCAGAGGACCTGGGCTACTCACGCGCGTATTCGCGATAGTGGACTATGCCGGCTACTGCTGGTGAGTTCATGTTCTGCCGTTGGTACAAAAATGTACAGTTCATGTTCTGCCGTTGGTACAAACATGTACACACAATCCAACCCCTATAGCAAATACACATTTCATGAAGCGGTGAAGGTACCCACACACTCGCTACCATGAGTGCCATAAAAAGTACGTCCCATGGTTGTGTAGCTACTATGAATATCACATGCATCTAGTCCACCCGGACTATCTGTTAGCTACCAGCTACGGCGTAAAAGTTATAACTGTGCATATACAGATACCCCTGAACTGTACAACTGAATACACACATACCCACAGCCGTCTGGGCAAGCATAGTCGTTCTTGACCTTTTCCCTCACATTCAAAAACATGCCGCTTTCGCCCCAGTTTTTGGTGGGCAGATCCCAGGCCGAATCGAAGATCCACAGATTCTTGGCGAAACAGTCATTGTATATAAACCCTGAGAAGTGCGGCATAGGGCTATATGGATCAGTGTACTGGATCCAAGTACACGCGCACAGAAAGAAATAGATGCTAAGGATCACCTGTGTTGAGTGCACTGTTGTATTGTGACATAACCCACTCATGATGCAAACTAAGAACAACCCGACCTCAATCTAAGAAACCTAATTGTATGTCGCATTGACATTACGACACCGCAGTATTAATTACAAGTTCCAATTGTGAGCGTCAGGTGGGAATCAGTTTTGTGCTTTTTGTTCCGTTGCCAATTGTTTCACTGTGCTCTATGGACACACTGAAAGAAAAACAGCATTGCAACATGTCGATACAGTCAGCGTGAAAAAATGTCACCGATGTGACAGCCAACGTACCCGAAAAACTGGCTATATAAGTAAGACTCGCGCATCTGGATTGTTGCGCTATTTAAAATTCAATCACTCACAGAGTTTGGCATAGATGCACACACAATACTAAATGAACAGAAGCACAGAACTCGAGGCCGAGGACACCACAACAAGAAACATACCGCCATAGAGCATGCACGCACGACTTGGCATCAACAAACCCACCGCCCAGCACTCGTGGCACTGAAATACAGCTTAGCAACATGCATACGAGAATTCGAAGTGCAAGTACCACATCCTAGACATGTCTGAGTGCTATTCACTGATACACAGTCCCTGTCACACTCGTGCTACGTTGTCTGCTGATTTTACGGCAGCCAAAATGAGCCGAAGCCTCTTATTCGATCGAAACCCCTCGCCAGTGGGTGCGTATCGTTCTAGACACAGAACGACGCAGTACACCACAGGTACAAAGACTACATATAAGCCGCTCGCTATAACCCATTCCTGCTAGTAAAAATACATATCTCAAGCATATACACAGTCACCATCTCCACGCACTCACCTGTGTAAATGGAGAATAAGCCCATCAGGAAGATCATGTATCGTCCCTGGAACACAGTGCCCGGCATTTCCCCCAGGCTTTTACTTCGCATGATAGCTCTCTCTTTCCAAATCATAACGGCGGCGGCCAGCATCATGATGAACCCGTGGCCGATATCTCCGAACATCACAGCAAACAGGAATGGGAATGAGATGAGCGTGAACAGAGCGGGGTTTACTTCTTGGTATGTGGCGACTCCGTAAGCATCGACAATACCCTGTAATCGATTTTGGAATCAAACAAAGGCAATTTGTTTTAGAATCGCTTCTGGGGTTCGTAGATGTCATGTGGACTACAACTCACGACGATAGAATTCTCAGCACAAATATCGGTTGGTATGTCAACTGAACATATCATGGTCCAACTATCCAGATTTCCGGAGTGTAAGGAAGTGTTTTCTCAAGGACTAGACCTGTAGTGAGCAGAAGAAAAACAGAGAGGAAGCAAGCATACGACCTATATCATCAGTGCTGTACTTGATATGTTCGTCGACAAGTAGGCGAGCCCAACTTGAACGGGAACTGGCAAACTTAGCAATCGCAAGTGGAACACAGTGTAATAGGACCGCGACACCAAGCCCGTAACAAATCAAGCATGACTTGTACTCGTCGATGGACACCTCACAAAGCACTTTAACAGGCAGATTCATACGCAAACAACAAAATACGTACTTATACAAGTGTTTCAGCCGACCGAGGTACCAATTGTTGAACACTCGCTTGTGACTTCTACGACAATTCAAGATTTGCT